ATATATATATATATATATATATAAATAAAAGATTTGCTAATTTATCTAATCTCTTAAAATATATTAAATTTTAGTTGACAAAAAAAATTTTATTCATAAAAAATTACTTTAAACATAAAAGTATTATAATAATTTTTATTTTTAATTTAAAATAGAAAATAAAAAATCATAAATTATTTAAATATTTTTAACCTTAAAACTTAAAATTCAAAATTTGATAAACTTTAAAAAAAATTACATAAATTAACAAATATATATATATATATATAATATATTCTGAAATAGTGTTCTACAAAAAGTTTTTCAGATCACAAATCACAAAAAGAAATGAGTTTTTTTCATATTTTTCTCTCTTCTTCTTTTCTTACACCATTCTCTCACTCTTTTATTTTTCCTAGAATAACATTAACGGTGACGCTGACAGCGTGGCGGGAGTAATAATGGCAGTGTGGTGGAGTGATGAAAGGCGTTTGAGTTATTTCCTCTTATTATGAGGTGCAGTTAATAATTACTGGAGTGCAGGAAGCAATAGGCTAGACAAGGTTAACAAAAAGGTACAGTTTCATTTGCAAAGTATAGACTGCTGGATTTTTAATTCATGAAATTTGAAATAGATTTGTTTTATTTTGTCTTCTAAATTTTAAATTAGATTTTAATGTTTTATTTCAAACATTTATTTTAATCCGTCTATCATTTTAATGACTTTACTTAAATATCTATTTAATTATAAATTATTAATGTTCTATGTTTACTTTATATTCTTATAATGAAATACTTTATCATTTTTTTTAAGTGTTCATTTTGATAGTAAAATATGCTATGAGTATATACTTATGTTTTTATTTAACTTTTAATCTTATATTCCTTTAAAATATTGTTTTAATTAGAATTTATTATAATTAAGTTTATTTAACATGAGTACAAAAGCATGTTAAAAAATAATATTTTAATTATATAAATGTTTTTTTTTTATATTTTGAAATGTCTTAGTGTAACAGTTTATGAATAATAAATTTATTAAATTTATACGAAACCTTAAACTAAATACAAAAATAACAAATAATCAAAATTATAAATTAAAGATGACATAAAGAAGATAAGAAAATCATAAAAAAAGTGAAAAAATTTGACTAAGAGGGAAAGAAGAAATGGACAACATAAATTACATCTTGTTATAATTTATTAATTTATTAGTATTAATTTGATGATATCAAAGACAATGATATATTTGAAAAAAAAACTTCAAATTTCTAAATAGTTATAAATCTCAAAAAGACAAAATATAAATCTACACCAAATTTAAAGAACTAAAACATATTTAAAACAATTTTTGATAGGTAAAATGTATTATTGTCTTTAAAATGTTAATTTTAATCCAAAAAGAGTTATTTTTTTTAAATGTTACACTTAAAACAAAATCATGTTTATAAATAGTTCACTCTTTTTGTTGTCCTGTTTTTGTTTTTTTAATTTTATTCTCTTAATGATTACTTTTTATATTTAAACAATTATTCATAATATAAAAAAATATTTTTCAGTTTTATTATTTTAATAATTATTTTTTTAATTCAAATAATTGTTCTTTATAAAAAATATTTTTCAATTTATTATTTTAATAACTAACTTTTTTAATTCAAATAATTATTCATTATAAAAAAAATTATTTATTCTTTTATTATTAAATTGTGTCCGCTTTTGTTTTTTTAATCTTCCCTCTTAATTATTATTTTTAAATTTAAATAATTGTTAATAAAAAACTATTTTTTAGTTTTATTATTTTAACAACTATTTTTTCTTAATTCAAATATTTACTTATTATAAAAGAATTATTTTTTTTTATCATTTTACTAATTGCTTTTTTAAATTTAAATAATTACTCGTAATAAAAAATTATTTACACAATATTACTTATAATATTTTTTATTTTAATAACTAAAATTTATTTTACTTATATCTATAATTATATACACCTTTTATTTTTCCAATTTTATATTTTTAATTATTACTATTAAAATTTAAATAATTTATAAATATTTAAAAAATACAACACATAAACGTGTCTTTACGCTAATAATAATAATAATATGCTTATAAGTAAATTATACAAATATTGCGCGAAATTCTTTCAAATTACGTTGACAATGCATTTTTTTAAAATTTCCACAAAATTCTCTTTTATTTTAAAAACATTACAGTTAGCCCTTAAAAAATTTTACACTTACACGCTTACAAATTTTAAAAACATTACACATTCACTTTTTTAAGATTTGTAATAAATAAATAAAAAAGTAAGAGATATAAAGAGCTTACGGTTCAAGATGAATTTTTAGAAATGACATCGTCAAAACTATTATAACGGGAATATTATACTCAATTATATATAAAAAAGAGTTTAGTTAACTTTATATGATTCTAGCAATATCTTTTGAATTTTAAAACAATTTAATGTAGAGCTGGAAAACAATTTCAACTATCACAATAAAATGTAATTCTCTTAACACCATATCAAGGAAATAAAAACTTTGTAGACACGGAAATATAAGTAAGAGATTTTCCAGATTTCTCTTTTGATAATAATAAAGATGGAAATGATTATTGTCACCATGATATTCATGAAAATGTCAAAACATTTCGGGCAAAAGAAATTTTTAAGAATAAAAAACTATAAACTAAAACTGACTCTGAAATATTTTAAGGGATACAAAAGAACATATTTTCATCATTATTCACTGGCAAAGTTCAATACCATATACGGTTTATGAAATTGAGATATTTAAGCAGATAGCATAACAACATCTACTTATCAATGCCATTATATATCAATAAATTAGTTATTAACAACCAGAAGCATGCGTACATTATCCTATACACACATTTATTTATGTACAAAAAATATATTAACAACTTGATATTAAAGAACAATCATGATCAACAAATAATTTAAGGTCCAAAGGAGAAAACAAACAACCCAAGAATCTCTCGTACTTGGAAACAAACTTAGACAGTTGGAATCAGTCTTCTTTGGAGAGAAATTAGCAGAGAAATCCTGTCATTTGTTAACCTGAAAAATTTTGCATGCTAATTAAGCTAACTTATGTCTGTACAGTTTCAATTATCAGTTACTGAAATAATTCTGGCCATGACATATAGAAGTGTAGATGGTAATATGCATCGAAACTTTTTTTATGCAAAATCATTTAGAAGGAAGGAAGAAAATGCTATAAGGCGTAAAACATACAAAATTATCTCAAACTTATATATACTCATCAATCTTTCTAACTTTATTTTTATCCATGTAGAATTATTCATAGTAAAAAGCAATGATTATCAACATTCCAACATAAATCGCACATTATATATATATATATATATATATATATATATTATATAATTATAAAATATAAATCAATTAGTTTAATAGTTTAATAATTTAAATAGTAATAATTAAATAAATAATTTAAAGTTATACAATAACTAAAAATATAATTGCATTATTATTTTTTGCTATCTATTAATTTTTTATATATTCAAATTAAAATATATTTAATAATTTAATATAAAATTAGTTTAAAAATGAATAAGTAAATTAAAATTACTAAAGAGTATATGATGGGTTCCTACTAGATTTATCTAAACATGATAAAATTCAACAAAAATAACACAAATTTTCAATTCAAACCCACCCTGTCATTTATGGAATCAGAAATGGGAAGAGTAAAATCAGTTTCTGATCCCATCCCATTGTCATGCCGATTTCCACTTGTTTGCAGTTTTTGAGAACTAATTCAGCTAGAGGCCAAAGAATGACAGAGCAGCGAAGTGACACAAGTAAATCACACAACAATGATATCCCACATTTACAACATGAACAACAGTCATCAACTAATTTGCCTTATTAAATTTTCCTTCTACAATTTTGTGTGATTACTTGCTATATAGCTGCTCATCTCAGATAAAGTGTCGTAACTAATTATTTTGACAACGAAAATAATGTGTCCAAATGTGAATGGTTTTAAATTTTATCTAAGATATTATTCATTATTAGTCAATGTAGAATTGTGAATGATTTTAAGATCTTACATTGTTATTTAAATCTGACTCTGCAAGTGGGCTACGCTCCTCGGAATAAGACTCTTGTTCAAGTTCCCTGAAAGATAGATGAAACCATCATAAAACAAAATATACCAACAAAATCAGAGATAATAACAAAAAGTACGATTATCAACTACCTATTAGCTAAGATCAGTTGCTGATGAGACCAAGTTGTTCTCAGATCAGAAGCAGCGGACTCAGAAACTTCAGGCTTTGTCTGTTCATGACCACTAATTCCCTGCAAAAGGATTTGCTTCAATTCTATTGCTTTTAGAGAAATTGTATCATCACACACTTTTACATTCATTTGACACAGGATATAACGATAAAATAGTCATAAAACTGTAAAGTTTTGTATTTTTTAAGAAAGGAGAAAGAAAAAAAGTAAATAAGAGTAGTGTCAAATAAATGTAAAAGATTTAGGTGTGTCAAAAAATCATTTTTCTTGCTTTTAAGATATTAAAACATAATATGCCTCAACAGCGCAAACTCACAGTTGAAGTATCTTTCATCCATTCAGGAAATTTGTTCGAAAGAAGGCTGATATACTGCTCCATTGCAACCTCTGGATTCATGTTCCCCAGCTTTTGCCAAGCATTCCTTGCACAACGGAATCAGTACTGTCGATCACTCATAAAAAGCAGCTCTCAACCCTGTTGTTATAACTAGCAATCAAGCCATACCGTGTAACTTGTACAGCACGGCCGCATGTGTTGTTTACATTGATTATCATGTTAGAGTGTTTTGACACATTTTTTCTGACCCTCTTGAATGGTAATTCTTATGTCTTTTAGGCTATATTTAAATTGATGGAAAATGATGAATGGAGGAAATGGAATTGTAATGGACCTAATAGTGTTATATTTCGTTATTTAAATTGGTAATCTTATCCATCTTGTTCCATTATTTGCTTTCATTTTTTTGGCGAGGAATAAGATGAAGTGAGAACTTTGTTCTGTTCCACCACAATCTATCCATAGAATGAAGTGAAAGTTTTACTCCAATATATTATTTTTCACTCCATTACATTTCATTCCATCGATCCAAATATTAGTATGACAAAGACGGCCTTACCTAATCAAATGTACGAGAACTCTGTGTTTACTTTACTTGACAATACCACATAATCTAACACAAACTGAGCTTTGCTTCTTGTACTTTGAGGGAGTGATTGAAATGAACATTAGAAGCTCATTCATAAAGGGGATGTGGATCGACTCCCATTCTTAAATAACGTTAGTCAGAGTATAGATTACAAGAACACTTTAATTATTAATATAAAACACAAGGTAAAATTTACACCCAATTGGGTAAGTTTTGAGCAGCGGAAAGAATTAGTCTCTTCTTCCTAACCACTCAAAAACATCTTGATGCTCAAAAAAAGAAAAACAGACAACCTGTCTTCCTAACATATATAAAAAGTGAATTCTATAGCTAATCTCGGCAAGTCTAAAAATTATATCTCTATTTAACAACGCACTCTGTCATGTTATTTAAAATCTAGGATCGCTTAACTTACCAGATAAAATGGACCCACAATAGATTGTATAATATTGTTGTGTGCATCAAGATAATTGATAAAATATTTCTTAATTGCACCATTGAATATTTTTGTTAACTTTGTTATTGATGACAATGCCGGTGACTGATCTCTAAAAAAACCAGCTAGATACTATTATTCTTTACCCCGTGGCCCGTAATGTTTCGAACAGAAACCCAGTTATAATTTATTATACGGTTGTTTAAACAAAGTTTACTGGGATAAGTTAGATACAAAATCAAATCCTAACTATTGCTTCGAACAACAGAAGAGCAACGAAAGCAAAGCGAATTAGGCAATTCGACAAACAAGGCATAACAACATCACACGAAGCATTAACTGGCAACACTGAAATAAAAAAGGGAGTATGTAAAGTAAGTTGAAATTTGATACCACTTGGCACGTGCAGAGAGCTTGAGAGGCATTGGCTGAGGTTCACGGCAAGGCCCTTCCGTGGCAACCTTGTGAAGCCCATACAAATCCATTTTCACGTTGCTTCCAACACTCTCCAATCGATCACCCTCGTTAGTAACAAATTCCGTAGCTGCCATAAACTCTTTCTCCAACTCGCTCCTCTCAATCCCTTCCCAATCATCATCATCATCATCATTGTAATCATTCTCTTTCACGCCGGTTTCTACAGCAGAAACTTCAATTTCAGTGGAAGGGTCTTCAACATTTTCCACGTCCCTCTTCTCGTCAAACTCTCGTGTTGTTCCCTCATTAGCCTCTGCTATTTCCTCTATAACAGCAATGTCTGTTTGTGATTTTACCAGTGACTCGAGAACAACGTTGGAATCGAATTCCACCACAGCCTCTTCTATCTTGCGCTCAATGTCTGATGACGTGGCAGCTTGAACCGGACCAATACAACAGATCGTGTCCTTGCTTTCAGCGGGCTGAACCGGTGGAACCGGTTCGATCGTAGCTTCTTCACATTCGATTTCTACACTCTTAATTTGAGCCGGCTGAGCAGAGAACAGTTTCCCGTGAGGAACCGGTTCGACCGTGGGGTTTTGTATCTTGTATTCGGTTACAGAGTGAACCGGACTAATAAAACGGACCTTGGTCTTGCTTTGAGCGCGCTGAACCATAAAGCGTTCGGCATGAGAAAGCGGAGAGAGCGGATGGGGAGGGAGGTGACGTTTTGGTGTGGCGTGAATGTCGTTGACGGCCTCGACGAGCTTCAAGACGATGAAAGTGAGAAGAAGAGCCAGAGACGCCGTGACAAAAAAATCATCCACCACGGTTAAAAGCTCCATGCCAATTCTTTCGTTTTCGTTGTTTCTAGTGGAAATATCGGAAAACGCTGAAGAAGTTGGTGAGTGAGGGTTTTAAGCAAAGGATTAGGATCGGTTGAAAAAGTGGTTGTTTTTTTGGAGAAAATTAATGAGAGAATTTAGGAAGGAATTGATAAGAAGGAAGGAACTGAAACAAGAGCTAGAAAAAAAAGGAAAGGATAATCTGCGTAACAGCGCAAAGCATATTCTGCGCTGATTTTACTTTATGCTTTGGCTACCCAAAATTTCAATTTTAATTCATAACAATCTCATTTTTTGTGTGTTGTGTGGGTCCCGTTGTTGCGGAGAAAAGGGTGAAGGGGTCACCGACGTGTGTGACAGACAAGCGTAAAAAGGTGTATATCCGTGACCACGTCGATCATGCTGACTCAACACTCGCTGCCATAATCGTTATCCAACTCCAACACCCCACGCGAGTCATTCTTATTCTCTGGTTGCCTTCTAACCTTGTTAGCGTGTGTACGTATCTTAATTTTGGTAAAAAAGTTATGTTTTAATTGAACATATTCGATAAGTATTATGAATACTTTCGATGACAAAATAAGTTAATTCCATCACTGTTTTACGTAATCATTCCGGTTTCCAACACAATGCCATAAAGAGAAACGTGACGATGGGATAGATCATTTTATGTTGTCATTATTTTTGTTAGCCGTTTATCAATTAATGCGTTATTCTGTATCGTATTGGTTACTGGATACATTATAATCTGTTATAAAATACCCACCAAATTTGCAGCTAAATGAGAAACTATAGCCAATAATCCCGGTACCATATCAACCAAACCAAAGTATTTACCAGACTTTTAAAATTGAGATTGAAATAGCATTATTAATTCCCCTTGGTGTAGTCCGATTAATCATATGGATAACTGTGAGCGTACAGTTTCTGATTCAACAGAATGTCTAACAAGTTAAGCTGCTGTGAGTGAAAGCATTGCACGTGCATGGATTTGGCCATGCTAAAGAATAAGAGTAACGATTCTTTAACACATTGATTTATTTGACAACGTACTTATACGATAAAATAGTTATAAAAAAAAGCAAACTTTTGTGTTCGTAAAAGAAAAGAAAGAGTTGACTATACAAAACAATACGCACAAAGGAACTCAAAAAACTAGGTAAATCCCTCACGGGGAGATCATGGATACAGGAGAAAATATAAATTCAAAAAGTAAACTATCTGGGTTGTATGAAGTGTAAGTCAAACCAGCAAATTTTAACTTGATGGAACCGTTTCAGTTTCCGTAGGGAAGCATAAGATGATAATAGCATAATAAGCTCGGTGAGAAATTAAAATAAACAAGATGTTAGAAGATAAAATTGGCTTCTCTGTTATCAACACTTGACCCAACCAGCTGTTCAACAATTGGCCCTGTATCAACAAGGCTGTTGCTATCACAAGATCACCTAGGCACTTCGATTAACCTTGTTCAACTGGGGTTTCAGAATGAATTTTCTCGTACAAGCGATGTATGAGTGGGGATTTAGACATTTGGGGCTCCCTCTCCAGGACTGCAATCACATCCTTGACAGAGATGCTTCGAGCTACCCTAGTTTGAGGGGCCATGGCATGACTCTTCCCGAGTTTTCTGGCCACTGTCAGAAGAATAAAAATGGGAGAAACAACATGTAAAGTGGCACAAACCAATAAAAAAGCGCTTGTTTACTTTATTCAAACCAACATAGCATTTCTCCAACATAAAGTTACTTGAAGCCATTTTCGTGGCAACATTAATCAGTAGGTATTATGCATACACTATACAAGAGCGGAGTCTGAAACCCTTCAGCCCCAAATAAGTGGAAAGTGTGGGACATTCTGCAATCTACATTTAGGTATTGATCAAAACATTCTCAACTAACAGTATAGAGAGAACATACGTTCAAGTTTTCTGAATACGACAGAGTCCACTTCTATTCTATCTTAATTTTTTTAACCCATATATTAAGAAACATTTGAATCTTGAATAACTAAAATTGATTGCTAGCTGGCAATTAAAAAGATTAACAATGGAAATAACAGAAATACACCTTCAAGCAGACTCACCTGAACTTGCTAGAAAAGGGGTTGAACCTCTTTTCTCCCCTTCTTGGTTATCCTTTGTATTTCTTTCAGATGTTGATGAAGATTTGCGGTTCACATCTTTAGCTGGTTGAGACCCAGATGACACGTCTACTCCCCCTTCACGTTTCTGCTTGGCTTGCTCAGCCATAAGTTGCCACTTCGACAGCATGTCATCTCCCCCATAAGCAGCACGAGCAGCAACATTTGCAGCATTTGTCCTCATCTTGTCATCCTCTTCCTTGTTCACCTACAGCATATTACAAATCAAAGAACAGATTTCCAATGTTGATAATGTGAAGTATAAGAATGAGATATAAATACCTTTGTTGATTTAGCACGGCCGTCGTCCTTATCCTTGTCACCATCACCTCCAGTATTGCTGTCAACCTATATTTAGAAACAGTAATATAAATGATAGTAACACAAGTTACAAATGAGAATATACAAAAGACCATTAGAGATGGTAAAAAATTCTGTACCCACGAATACAGTGGGAATATTGCGAGTATTTTAATTATCCGTTTGTTAATGAAGTACAAGTACCCGCTAATCCTAACCATTATTAATGAATTTTATTTGAGTATTTTTTAAAAAAATTAAGTGATCAAAATAAAGTTACTAGTAAGAGAAATACTAACCATTGAAGAATTGTTTAAAATTTGATTTCATATATATTTATATTTTTTTTTATTTAGACCTATGAAATTGAATTTGTTTTTAAAAGGATTAATTTTTTAAAACTTATATTTTGTGGTGTGTGCAACTCATTTAAATGTGTTTTAGAAAGATCAAATATATTTGCATTAATATTTTATTAAGAAATTTTATTTTAGTTGTATTTTAAAACTAAATGTTTTATTTAAGTTTATATTTTAAAATATTTTTTTAAATAATTTTATTTAAAATTCAAAAAATGAAAGGAAAAATTATATGGCACATATTTTTATGCATATACCAAACTGGTAGTAAGACGGTAATGAGGCAGATTTTTTTAGATGAAGTAGGTTGCGACTAGGTATTATCCATAGCCGTCTGAACTCTTATCCCCAAAAGAAATGCATGGAAAGGAAATGTGCATGAAAAAAGGTTTTTATCCTGCAGTAGCTCAACACAATTCCAATATTTGGAACTTACATCATTTAGTTTCCGAAGCTTCTCTGCTTCCGCCTGTTTTTTATCCCACTCTTCCCTTACTTTCCTATTTATTGTCATGATTTGCTGCCGAACATCTGAAGTGACAACAGTCCGATGTCTCGTTTTCTCAAAATCAACCCTCTAGTAGAAAAATTCTTGTGAGTACAAAGTCTTATACAATAAGAAAAGACTATTTGTGCAAGCAGCTAGAGAAAACAACTAACCTGTTTTGATAATCTAATCAGGTTACTTATCAGTCCGCGCATCCTTTCCTCCACACTCTGAACATTTACTCAGTGGTAAGATTACACGTAAACCAATTGCACTGAAAAGTGAAAAATTGCTTGGGTCTTACCAGTGACAAGCATTTCTCCACATCATTGCTCATACCCTTCAAGCCACACTTGGCCACTGTCAAAGTAACAACATAAAGTAACCATAAGGTTTTGCATGCCTAGCACACATCCAGATCAGCTCAAAATGAAAAAATTAAAACATATGGACAGAGCTATGGCACAAGTTGGACACTGACTGATGTCAATTAATTTTTTTTGCAATGGAGCTTTCTGCAAGATCAGCCTCTCCTCTTCTTCTTGCACAGCCTTTCGAGATGCTTCTGACACTCGACTATCCTCTTTGGGCCCTGAAAATAACTGCTCTTCCTCTTCCTGTAAAAGAAACATTAGAAGTACAGGATTTAGGATTCCCTACTTATTTGACTGTCTGATTTAGTTGAACATTGACGTAGTATCATACCCTGAGGTCAACTCCACTAACAGCAGTGACGTCATTAAGTTGTTCAATGCTTTGTTCAGCATATCCCCCAGAAGTTTTTTGTTTTTTACTGTAAGGTAAAGGAACATTATGTATATTGAATTAGTTAGGTTAAGAAATTAATCAGTAGAGAAAGGCATGGCTGACCTAGAAGGAGGAGGTGAGGAACCAAGTGCTTCAAGTGGTTTCTTTTGGGTAGCAGCAGACTTTTTAAGAGATGGCCTTGCAGCAATTCCAGAAGCATTTGATGGAATCTGAGAGCTTAGCTGATTAATTTCAGAAGTGGGACTTAAGAAATTAGACATCAAATTTGAAGACATACTTATAAACCTGGGGTATGCTCGGTGAAAAAATAATATCTTGGTACTTAAAGAAAAAAAATGCATAGAAAAGGCATGACAAAGTTATTATTTCTCAATAATAGATTCTGTTAAAGAAAAAATTGGGAGCACAAGGACATCCAATGAAAAAACAAGCACAACAATATGTACTTGTTACCCTCTATTTCAATTTGCAATACATCTTTGATACATCATAACCTTCCATAACAAAACTGGTGAATCAAAGGTTTCTTACATATCCTGTAAGAGGTTAGCAATTTTGCAAACAATTGGTTAAAGAGTTAAATCTCAACGCTAACAAAATTGGAAATAGGGGCCGATGGATCTAATAGTGCATATTAAAGAAGACAAGGACTATAATGAAGCCTATCCATTTACATGCAGCTCATGATTCAACTAAATTTTAGTTCAGTACATTTAGCTCAAGATCTAACGAGAGGATCATGAGCTAAAATATGACTTCTCGAAAATATAATATAAGCATAAGCCACTTAGTTCTCACCTCATTTGCTCATGAACTGGCATAACATATACATCATCAAAACATATATATTTATTCCCAAAGCTTAAGCAGTAAGGTAAAAATACATGAATGGATTTACATAAAAAATGTTCCCCCACGTAAAGGTTTTCATGCTTAACACATTAATAATGCCCAGGCATTACCATACCTTGCACTTGAATTTAGCCTTCTTATTTAAATGATTATGGACACAAAGGATCAAACTCATGACCTCTAGAACATAAATGACATGTCACAAACAAGCCATAACAAAATCTCAAACCATTGGGGGAAAGTACATAAATGATTCTCAAAGTATTACATAATAGTTTCTACTCATGAGTGTTGGTTGCATTACAGTAAGTATATTACATATATTGAGTGATTTTTCTGCAATCTGAAGCTCCTTCTAAAACCCATTTGGCGGATTAAATAGAGTTTACTAGGCTTAACCCAATTGAGCTCATTGTGTGGAGTCAAGTAGCTCATGACTTTAACTTGAGCCTGGAAACTTGTCATACAGAATGACTAAACTAGGACAAAAATGAACTAGCCGAGTATGAGATCATCTTAGTTGAGTTTGAATTTTATTCATGTTCAGTCCTATGCGCACAGACAGTGAAACTTTCAGAAATTTAATTGGTCTTTCCTACAAGGAAAATGACACGAACATAAACCTACGATCAAATGAATACAAAAGCACCCCCAGAATGGAACTAACGAAATTAACCACGTGACAGCTTAGCAATCCTAACAATGCTCAAAATTAAGATCTAGCCTTAATCAAAAGTATCTAAATCAGCCCCATAATTATAGTTACTTTAAACAAAAATCCAGGACAATCTGTTTCTGTATAGTTGGCTTGCATGGCTCTGGTACATCCTGTGCCAAACTGTCAATTTATGGATGCCCTTAGAGTTTAATTAAAAAAAAAAAAAACGTTTGATCTTTTAGGAGAAGCTAACTAAAGCTTGACCATGAATAGAGGTGCCATATATTTTATAAATGCGTGATTGACCTA